CATTCAAAACTAACAAAAGAGCAACAATATATAAGTGCAAATGACAAGTCTCGGTTAGCCTAACGCAGTACAGCAAGGTGTGTGTGTGTGTGTGTGTGTATATATATTTATAAAATACACACACAAAGAAAAATAAGCAGATAGAATAGAAAGCTAGTGGTTTTTGAATAATACATTTTATAAAATAAATTATTAAAGTTATAGTTCACCCAACCAAAAATGACAATTGTGTCATCATTTACTCACCATCATGGTCCAAAAGAGTATATGTAATAAATTTGAGCAAACTAAATATTTTTTGCTAAAACTACTTTTTGTAATGTCTGTTCGATGCTTTACACAACAATGACTTTAACAACAATGACTAATGAATCAGCCTTTTGAACGAATCGAATGAATAAATGACTCTGACTTAATCATTAAGACATTTACCACCACCTACTGGCAGTTTGTTTATTATTTTGAGTATTATTTCATTAAAGAAATCATTTCAAATTTCCATAGTAATAATAATACATTTTATAAAATAAATTATTAAAGTTATAGTTCACCCAACCAAAAATGACAATTGTGTCATCATTTACTCACCCTCATGGTCCAGAAGAGTATATGTAATAAATTTGAGCAAACTAAATATTTTTTGCTAAAACTACTTTTTGTAATGTCTGTTCGATGCTTTACACAACAATGACTTTAACAACAATGACTTTATTATCTTTTGGGAGTAATTTCTCCCAATTTGATTTTAATCTAAATTTTAATCTAATCATGTAATTAATTAGATTAAAAATGTTAATCGCTTACCAGCCCTAATTATTATATTAATTCAGCAAGGGCACATTTAATTTGTAACATTAACTGTCTATACGGTCACCATCAAAAGTGTTTATTTATTTATTTTTACACAGGGTTTCCGCGGGGTCTTAAAGTCTTAAATTTAGTTGCATCAAATTTAAAGCCTTAACGTCTTAAATTGTACAAGCAAGTCTTAATTATGATTTCAAGAGGTCTTAAATTTGGAGACGGAAAGACCAGAATTGTGATCTGACCGAATGTGACGATTAAACTTCAAAAGGCTAACATGATTTCATTGAATAAACAGGAGGTGCTGCGCTGCTTTGTGTTCTGCTGTTACTGGGGAAACGGTTATTTTTCTACCAAACGCTCCACCTGCTGGCAGAGAATGAATGAGCATTTTCAATAAAACTATTGTTTTGTTCAGAGTTCAGACCAATGCGAAAATCGACCCATATTTTTATCCTGCAAACACGCAGAGCTTTAAATGTGAGCTGGCGGATCGATAAGAAGACAATGCATTATAAAAATCTAAACATAGGGGTGTGCGATATGTATGGTCTGCGGTAATATCGTAATTGTTGTTTTAACAACGGCGGTGATACGAGTATCGCGAAAAGCAACCACAAAACACACCTACAGAGTGCACGCATACATTAGGTGAAGAAGTCTAGCGGGTTAGACTAGTGCGCATTTAGAGTGCGTTCTTTCACTGCATGAATCAGTCTATTAAAATGCATTTAGAATGATCACATAATTCAAGATATGGGGCAGAAAATGTATACATTTATATAATTTCATATAGGGAATATCACACGAAGAGTGCCTCCCCCCCCAAGTAGTTAATATTAAGAGACTTGTTTTAGACACCAAATTTCCTGTTTTTGCTCCATTTCTCCAGCAAAAATCATTTCAAACACAGCCACAGTGCTGTTTCGCGCCTCTGAGCAACAGGATGCTGTTTTGTTCCTGAATGAATCACACGTTTAAATGAATCGGTTCAAACGCAATGACTCACTTATTAACAGTGACTTGCTGCCACCTACTGGTGGTTTTAATTTCACATTTAAGGTACCTTTTCATTTTTTTAATAATTTCAAACATCAGTTTTCAGTGTTTTATGGTTAAAATATCAAAACATTATTCATGCATTTGTAATTGCAGGTTAAAGTATTTAATGTTCCTCAGAGCTGCATTTAACTGTGTGAAAGCATCTAAATGCCACTTCTAATGCAGCCTCTGTGTTTCCTCCTGCATTGCAAAGATCAATTTTGTTGATACTGATTTAATTTGCTTGGTAACAAACCAAATGCAAGAATTTGACTCAAAAAGACTTTTAGAAAAAAATGGTAAAGGTAAAAATGCCCATAAAACTTGTTGGAAATGATTAATTTCTGTCACTGCTGTGAACTGACCACACAGAATATGAAGAATATCAAAAAATGTAGGAGTCGGCTGTCCACGGTAGTCCTTAAGATATCAGCACAATAACACACTCAGCAAAATATCGTCTAATTAGCGGTATCGATAAAATCCCAGAATATTATAGAGAGATACATTTTTGTCAATATCGCACACCCCTAATTTGTTATTTAATTGATATAATAATTTATAATTGTTTAAATTAATATCCAAAATATCGTCTAATTAGCGGTATCGATAAAATCCCAGAATATTATAGAGAGATACATTTTTGTCAATATCGCACACCCCTAATTTGTTATTTAATTGATATAATAATTTATTGATAATTGTTTAAATTAATATCATAATACTTTTGACTCATCCATTTTCTTAACAATGATTTAAAGGCTGAAATGTAAAGTCTATCGTTTTATAAAACTTTGTGTAAACTTGTATCTGAACTGTAAATTATGCTTTTTACAGTTTAATATGGTACTACATTGCCCTACCCCGCTCATATGGTATTAATTTTATTTGTGCAGGTCTTAAAAAAAAAAAAAAAAGGTCTTAAGTCTTAAATTTGAGGCTGCTGAAAATTCAGCTTTGCCATCGCAGGAAAATTACACTTTAAAACATTTAAAGTTATTTTAAGTTGTAATATTTCCCAGTATTACTGTTTTTACTGTATTAGTCAAGTGTGGCCTTGTTGAGCATAAAAGCAAGACATTTATAAAAAATAAAAAGTTCAAAAGCTTGATTTCAATAAGATTTTTTCAAAGCACAATTCCAAGTTTTCTTTCCCCTAATATGTGTCTTCTGTTTTTTCAGGAATTGGAGGATTTGCTGCCCACACGGGCCGATCCACCCGTCATCTCTGGAGACGCAGAGGAAGTGGAATTGCAGGAGTTTGTAAGCCAGAGCTCCTCTGGTGGTCACCGCCGTGAGGCGTACAACGACAGCTCAGATGAAGAAGGAGGGCATCACGGTCCTGGCGTGCAGTGTGCCCATCAGTAACCCTGACTACAGCAAATATCTTGTCTGGCTCCAACAGTGGGGATTTAAAAAAATGATCTAGTTGCACAACAAACAGGTGTGTTTATAATCTGATTCGGGGCTGCCTTAAATGATGAGAATTACATACAGCCATTCCTGACCACCTGATTCCCTTGTAGTAAACGCACAGATGATCCCGCATCTAGTAACTCTTTCTTGCCCCTCCTCCTCTCCCAGCGGCCCTTTAGGGACAACCCCACTTCAGAGAGAAAAGGGTAATTGCTACGTACTCTGTGTGTAACTTGCTTTTTTTTTGTCATAGTATTCACAAGTTTAAATCTAACCATAAAATGCAGTTTTGGCCCTGGACATGAGCCTTTTTATTTTTTTTATTTAAATTTTTTTTTTGGAGAGCAGTGGCCTAACGGAAGAGGAGTTGAGAGATCCTAAAACAACAAAAACAAAATAGAAATGGGACTTCACCACCAATCCATTTTTAGATTTGTTTGTATCTGTGCGCTATTTTTACCACTTTATTTTATTTGTAGATTTTTTTATTTTATTTTTTTTTCCTTTTGGAATTTTAAGAATTGGAACAAGAGACTATAACATGTATAAAATAAGTGATTGTCATTTAAGCTTTGTATCAGCTGCTGTCACATTTGAGTGTTTTATGTTTTGAAATAGTTGAAATAAAATCAATTGCCTATATTTGTCAGCAATCCAGGTGCATGTTGAACATTTTGGTCCCTTCACTGATTGAAAGAGTGACATCGTGCGTAATAAAATGAGTGGAGGAAAAAGCACCTTAACTATAGGCCTATATCTTGTGAAAATTTGAGTTGAATAAACTGTCCTTCAATATCTCCTCAACATAACCCAAGTCTTTGCTTTATTTGGTGCTTTAGTCATTAGTTGGTACTTTTGACACTAGTTTTAGTGCCATGCCAACTTTAAAGTTCAAGTTCATTTGAGGATTGCTCAATGAGAACCACATGACTATTCAGTACGTTTGTCATCTAAACCAAGCTAGTTCAAATACAGTTTACCCGCATTTCATTTGCAGTGGAGCTCACAGATTAAATTATGCAGGTTAAAGCATTGAATGTGGTGATCAGGTGATCCAGTATGATCAACATTTCACTGTATAAAAGGTGTTTTCACTTGATTTAGGTGCTAAAGCCCAACAGATCTGAAATGTTTACCTTGTTTATTATAGACGGGTCCGTGTGCCAAACCGTAATGTAGGGTTGTACATGACATTATGTACCCACTCCAAAAGGTCATTTGTCACTGAAGCTGGCTCGTATCTGCACTGTCTATGAAAGCAGAGCAGTTTAGGAAACACTTGTGACCTACAGCTGCATGTAGAAAGGATCACGTGCCTTTACTTCAAACTTCCTGTGTTGGAGACAAGGGTTCTGGGGATTTTAAATGAGGTGCGATTGAGAAATTCAATTGGCTAAAAAGAACACCAGAGGGCATTAAATCCCAACCATGAACTATAATGACATTATCGACTAAAGTCTGCAACTGCATTTAACCGACACAGAACAGTTTTACAACACATAGCATTTTACTTGTGTACTTTTTTTTTTTTTGAATTGATGTCTGAAAGCAGTGCTAAATAAAAAATATATATTTTGTTTGGCAAACGAGACAAATACATAAGACAAGGATAAAGTGAAAAGAAAGACAAAACAGATGTAATGCACTTTAACAGTCTTCATAAGTTTAATATTCCATTTGAAAATTCTATATACAATGTAACATTGGGCCAATTTACAAAAGTCTGTAAACATTCTATATTACAAGCTAGTAATGCATGTAGGGAAAACTCATTTGACAAAGTTCACAGGCATGAATAAAGGCACCTCATATGAAGTGATAATTAAGTTCAAAGGATGCAAGGCGGCAGTAACAATATTCACTCACTGTTAATGGCTTTGATATGAAAGTTGAGATGTCAGAAGGGGAGCACTACAATGGAGTCAACTTTGGCACTAATATCTTTTAATGGCTAATATTTAGTTTGTAAATACAACCGCCTGTCTGAAAAGAATGGGGCTGCACCATGAAGCCAGTTTTGCTGGCTAGCTTACATTTGTTTTGCGTCATCCCTGGGTTTTATGTACCATAAAGGTGGGCTGATTTTTACAAGTGTTCATCACCATAAGTACGATACATGGCTCGCCTGCTCTGTGGCAGGTTTTGTTTTGAGACCTCAAACCCAAATTGGACCAATCAGCTGTGAGCAAAGCGATATCTTTGGCACAACAGTCAATCAGTGATTATTTATAATTATTTTATGATTTATATACCGAGTACATAATTATACCCTCACTCTAGTACACATTTGTACTTGTAACAGGTTTATAAATGAACAAATATTCAATATAAATTATATGCTTTATGTTATTATATAAAGCTTTAAACGTTTCAGTCGCTGTGGAATTATATATTTTATTGACAACACAAATTAACCCATTTCACTTTCAGTGATATAGCCAGATGTTTTCTTTCAGTTGTCCCCTTTTGAGGACAACTCTTTTTATTCTTGCGGTGTAAGTTTAAAGTCTGAAAGCAGCACTATGTAACTTTTGGCACTCTAGCGGTTAATAAACAGAACTTGCACACATCCCGCGGAAGAACATTCCAACCGGAGCTACGTCTCTAAGTTTATGTCTATGGCGATTCACGCAGGTATGTGTTACTCCGCAGCGGTGACGACCCGACCAGGCTACAATAGTCCAAATATAAGTACTTATAAGTGTACCGTAGTGATTCGGAATAAGACAAAAACGCGGTTTGGAAGATTAATTCATGATGTACTCGCTCATTATATACATTCAGCAAATTTTGAACACAGAAAAAGTTACATAGTGCTGCTTTAATATTTTATTCATAATTTTCTCCCAATCTTAGGCAGAAGAGAGAAGTGAATCACACTGATTCCTGCTTAAAGTGAATCACAGTTTCACAGCGTGCAACTGGCTGTTTGCTTCTGAGGTCACAATTTCATGTGCACATGTTTACACAGTTATGCATGAATTCAGGACGAAGGTCTGAGCTGACAGAGGAAGTTGATAATCAGCATCATGGTATCAATAAAGCCTGATTGGACTGGTTTGGTTTTCTGAACTTGAAACCAATCCTGTAACCCAGAGTTTGTTCAGCTAGCTTCATGGTACAGGTCCCAGAACTGATTCAAAAAGCATTGTTTAATAGTTCAAAATAACTTGCAGCATAAAACCAGAGGAAATAAAATACATCAGTAAACATTCACAAGCCAGCACTTTCTCCACACATGCTTCCTTCATTCCGCATCTTCAACTGGCTTTGGAAACATACAGAAGCAGAGACACAAATCATCGCCTTCACCACAATCTTCCACAGAAGCTTAACTTGTGACTAAGCTTGTCATTTTGAAAGATAAAATGTTTCTGTACATTGCATGGCAATGAGTGCAACTAAGGATGAGGACAAGATAAACATTAAAAGAGTCCCTCCTTGTAAACATTCCAGAACAAGTGTTCATCAGCCACCAAAGTTACAAATATTTGTATGTATATTTGCATCAGCCAAAATGGTTTTGAATAGTTCATATAAGGTGCTACAAAGGAGTTTCAAGTGAGTTATTTTCAAGTGAGTGACATCAATCTTCACAATTTAGTTCCTGGTTTGGAGAGTTGTTAATAAATAACATTTGTAACTGAATCTCATGTCTCATGATAGAGGGTGTCTATTTTCCATGCACCCTACTGCAGATATGATCATTTAAAGAGAAATATAACAAGAAAAATGACAACGTGTCCAATTTTCTAGAATGAACCGTGGAAAAAAAAAAAAACTGAAATATTCAAGAATAGTGTTATATATCTGACTAAATCGCTAATATTTCCGTAAAACTCAACCAGAAGCCATTTTCATTAAATCATTGTCTAAAATTTGAATTAAAAAAAATACTTATCACTACCTTTACAGTTTAAAGGAGTAGTTTGTGTGTTAAGTAACGCTGGACTCGCCAGCTTATGTTTTGCAAATCAGGTCAGATTTCATCTCACTCCAGACCGGAGTACTCTTTCAGAAAACTGATGTGGAAATCTCGCACTTTGCCAAGAAGTACATTCAGCTTTTCTATGGATGGCAGGATTGTCATTCTGAAACAAAGACAAACAGACCAAACTTTTTTTTTTTAAAGTGCTAACAGATAAACGAGTTACTGGCATATAAAGTAAAAAAAACACTGGACACCGAAAACAATGATTTCACACAATATTTTGAATAGTAAGGGGAATAATTCTCCGTTTTGTGAGCCATTTCATTTATCGGTTTTAAAACCACCACAAAATGTGACAACCATGTGCACGTTCAACAAAGATTATTCACATGCTTTTCTTCAGCTCAGGCCATAAACAAACAAATAAACCAAAAAAAGCGCCCAAGACCAAATATGGCAGATTTCAAATCATGTTCTTCCAGGAAGTCATGGGGGAGGGGGATATCACCTGATAGCAAATAAAATGTGAATTTGTTTGATCAAAGTTTACCTGAAATGATACGTTCTATCTTTCTGCCCAAAGCCACTCCCGGGAACAACGCAGATTCCGGTCTCCTCCAGCAACCTCAGGCAGTAAAGCATGTCAGGCTGCATTCCTAGAGCCTGCCCAATTACAGACACATCCTCAGTGACAGCTCAGACTTTGCATTTCTGACTTTCTCCAGATGTCATTCAACTTTGTCTGAGTTACAGAACACAGAGAAGCTTCATTCCAGTAGAAGAGCATCTTCTCAAGTGGAAACAAAAGTTACCAACTGTAGCAAATTACCATTCTGCAAGCAATTATTCACTCAATTCTTATCGAGTTTATAAACAGAAAAGGAGTGTAACTAACATTTATTTCATTCTTAAACAGCGTAACAATTATACAGTTGGATTTAGTAATTCAAGTAAGAGTACTGGACAAACTGTGCTGAACTAGTACTACTGGTTACACCCTTTCTAATCAGATAACACTTGTCATGAGTGGTGATGAAAGGAAATTTACACAGTTCACCGTGAACAGTCTAGAGTGCCCTGGAAACTAGCGGACAGCTAGGATAACAATGCCAAAAGCAAATAGTAGGAGCACTTGCCTTGGCTTCCTCCACTGCCTTAGGAGGGATAAAGATTCGAGGGAAGGCGTACATGGCCCCCTGGACAGGATTACACTTGATTCCTGGAACTGCATTCAGGATCTGCTCAGTTAGTTTGGCTTTTTCTGCTAAAGCACCCAGCACTGATGATTTCTCCTGAAAGAGATCAAACAAACACAATCACGCCTAGTCAAACCCAAACATTAAAACTCTTCAGGGCTATTTATGTAATAACAGGTTACTGATGCGTAACATTTAGAGGTTTATATACTAGAAACCACATAACAATGAAGTCACCGTCAGTGCCAGTACACAATGTGCTTTACTCCACCAGATACTAAAGGACTAACCTGGTGGAACTGTTTGAACGTGTGCTCTTCTGGTTGAGGAGGGTTGACAATCACATCCATTGCAGCCTGGCCAGCCAAGGGGGGACACAGGCGAACTGATAAAAGCTTGACCAGCTGGGCCTTGACCTCAGGATCCATGTTGATCACCTCCATATATCCTCCCCTGAAGCCACACCTGTGGAAGGACATGGACATATCGCATGAGTTCTCAGAACTGTAGGACAAGGTTGCCACATTGAGTAGCCAAAACATAAATATTTGAGGTTTTGTCAGAGAAACGCTCAATTCCAGTCAGGCCACTTTCCACAAAGTATCAGAGTCGTCGTTTGGACTTTTGAACAACCAAACACAGTTAGAGGAATGGTGTTTTAACAAATATAAACACAA